CTATCCATTTTTATTTCCTTTTTAATCCACATTTATATTTAGATTCAAGTAAGATTTAAGCCAGCTTACAATATTTGTTACTCTAAGTAGAATTAATCTACACTGTAGTAATTTTGTCATGATTTTGTTCAGCCCAACTGCACAGACCCTTGTGGCCAGACCTCAGCATCTCCAACAGCCCCTCTGTGGAATGTGCCCTATTATTCCCCCCAAATTTATCTTTTATTAATTAGATTCCTGGAACTTTAGCCACTCTTATTCTGTGTTATTTACAGGAAGAAATGTAAGAATCTTCACTAGCATTTAAATTTAAATGTGTGTAATCAGAGGCAATGAAACCTTCAAGTACAGTGTAAGGCACCACAAATCCACTCTGGCTGGGGTTTAATATTCTATTTACAAGCAAGATATGCTGTGGAGAGTACTTTGCTACTACTGAATTAAAACCCTGCCCTGGTTTGAATTAACCTTTGATTCCAAACTCCCCCATGGCAGTGGAGTGTGTTTCCCTCAATATTCTGCCCAAGAAGCTCAAGTGCCACCAATCCCTTGGCTTCTCTCCCAGCCTCTGGGTGGGTTCAAGGGGCTGAAGTGCTGAGTATTTTTATGCAACAAAACAACACCCCCTTAAACAGCCACCACAGCAAAACAGGCTCAATACCTACAATAAATACTTTCAAACTCTCATCAATGTCTGTTCTCAATGAGATCCAACAGTACTTAATGATTTGTGTCTTCAGTGCAGGGCAGATCTTTCTCACAGCAAAGTTTCACACAGCCTGAAGTTGTTGCCAGCAAATTCTGCTTTAACTGGCTTGTACCAAGCAGGGATTTGATGTTCTGGAGTAATTCAAATGATTACCTGCAGTTGTACTGCCAGCCACTGTGGTCTCCCAGGTTCTTGGGCTTTTGTCTGTCAAGGAATGTTGCTGATAATAATTTCTTCAAATAAAGAAGTGGAAGCACTGAATTCTAGCAAGAAAGAGTCAAGACATTTCAATGAAATATCTGTTCTTATTTGATTTAAGAGGGTTTTAAAAATGCTCAGCTTCAACAAGTCTTGATACACAGGATAAAGTTATTTATTTCTTTTTATCCAAGTGTGATGTGAAGCAGCTGAGCTATAGATTCACTACAGAACTTTTCAAATTTGCTCCTTCAAATCAGAGAGGAACACATTCAGTGCTGGTTTTACTGCTTGTTTGTGTTCCGTGCATGAAGAGTTGAGGAGAACAAGGCAGTGCAGGGCTCTTGCAGGTAAGAGAAGAGGAGGAGGGACTGGAAGAAGATACATAATCTTTTTTTGTTGTTGTTTTTGGTGATTTATGGCAGGTTTTAGGTAGAAGATGCACTGCTGAGGAGCAGAGCTGTGATCTGACCCCTGAAAATCAACCTCACTTCTCAGACACAGGGGGCAATCATGTATTTCTAAAATGCTTCCCCTTTTCCTATTTCAGTCAAATAATAAAACAACGGGTGTAGATGTGACTAAACTGAAACTTTGTGAGCAGAATTTCATATTCTGATCGCTCCATCCTATCAAAACTTCATCCACTGCTGCTGTTTCAGATGGTTCCAGCAGCAGAGTTTAGGTCTGGCTTTAGGGAGAGCTGGGAGGGATTTCCCTGCTGGCCTCTGGGCAGGACTTTCCCCTCCTTGGATCTGTTCTTTGCATACATTTCATCTTATAGATTAATTAGCACTTCTGGACTTATTGCTGCTCCCTTTCTGAGGGAAACACCAAGCCTTTGTTCTGCTGGAACAAAGGAAATCCAAAGCATTGACAGGACTTCAGGGTAATTAAATCCTCATTATGGTGCTGACAGTTCCCCTTGATTGGCACCACGTGTCTGTTTTCAATAGGACCCGCGGGGATAATTAATTGTGGTGAGCCCATTAATTTGCCATTGTGACACTTTGCAGAAGTATCAGGCCAAGAGTCCTGCGTGGGTGGAGGAGGTGACTCTGCTCTTTGGGACGTCCAGAAAACTCAGCTCTTTCTGCTCCCAGGAATTGGTTGCTTTTAAAAATCTTCATCTCAATCCTTCATTAAAAATAATGTTCTTAAAGCAAAGGCATCTTTTGGTGTGGGAAATATTTCAATCATGTGTGAGAGAGAGAACATTTATTTATGAAGTTGTTTTGCAGACAGGAGGAACAGTGTAGGAATTGAAGTGACTTGCACACCTATTTTGGAAAAGGAACCTTATTCACGTTTAGGTTCACAGGTACATAAATAAATCCAAATAGCCATAAAAAACGTGGTTTGATTAAAATATAAGGATTTTTTTTTTCATTATTACTTCACAGTGAAAATATAGCTAAATTAAAAAGGTTTCCATTCCACTATTATTGTGGCCCAACCATAAATATTTGTCTCAGATTTCATCTTAAAAATGTCTTTCTTTAAAAGGCCTTTTATTATTTATTGCCCTATATTGTTTATTCCCTTTCTTATTATATTGTGCCAATTTTTGTCCTAGTTCTCTTGCAATTAAATTCTCTTCAAAATGATCTAAGAATTCAAGGACTTCATTTGGGTTTTGAATAAAAATTTGTAAGGAGGGTGGACTTCATTCTAGGTAAAATTCCACATTCGCCTGTCAAACAGCTTAGAAGAACGTGAATATTAACAATGTATTTCATCACCTCTCTGTGTAATTATGTCTCTGTGATGTTGTTTGCAGGTATCAATTATGTCCTTCCTCTTCTTGATTAAAATAAGCCTTCGTTAAAAGCCACCTCTCTTCATTTGGGTGCATTTTGATGACAGAACTTCAGGCACTTTGCAGGTCTTGGCCCGCTGAGTGTGCTCTGTGCTGCATCACTCCTCTCCCAAATTGGCTGCTGGGAGATTTGAATAATTAAGATTTGAAGAATAAAAATGTAAAGAATAAAAATGTAAAGGATAACGCTTTGCAGAATAAAGATTTAAAGAATAAAGATTTGAGGAATAAAACCAGTTCCTGGATGGGGAGGAGATGTGGATGAGGTGGCAGCAATTTTACATTTAAGCAGATAATACACAAAAAGTTTGTGTTGGCTTCCTGCCCCCTTGTTTTTTGACTGGGAAGATCAATCTTTATAATTCTGAAATATGGAGATAAATTCTGTGATTTTGGGTTTTAATTGGGATTTTTCTTTCCCCTGTTAATTCTGTCATTCTCCAGCTAAAGGGGAAATTTTAAACAGATATTTTATGAGTGGCTGCCTCCATCAGGAGCAGCAGCTGCAGCTCTGGAGGTGTGGAGACTGCCCAGGTGCTGCAGCATCTGCACAGGCACCTGGGAAACCTGGGCATGCTTCAATATTTCCATTTTCCCTCCTGGCATCTCCAGCCTCCCACTCCATCACTCCAGGAATTTCCCTTCATCCTCACCTGCCAAGGGTGACAGCAGAGACAGAGCAGATTCCTCCTTCTTTTCATTTTTTAAAATTTCTTTTTATTTCATTTAAATATTTCTGGTTTATATAAATAGTATATTTATTCATATATTTATATAAAGATTATATTTTTTCATATAAATGTTCTATAACATTTAACTGTTGTGTTTTATTGGCTGGAATTACAGGATCAGACTTTATATCCCTAAATTTATTACCTCAGACAATAACTGAACCAAATACAAAAGAAAGAATTATTTTATATATTTAACTGTCGTTTGCTTGGTTTGAATTTAATACTTAACTTTTTTACTAAATTGCAATTAAATTATGTGTATACCTATGTAGACATTAATCAATTGAAAGCAGTGAAAATCAATTAATTTGTTTTCATTCACAATGTGGAAGGAGAGGATTGTGAGCCTGAGGTTGTAATAATTTGTAATTTATATTGATTTATTCATTAACTGATAACTTTAACTTTATTAATTTATAATTTATATATTTATTTATTTATTAACTTGTAATACAGATTTTAAAGAAATCTCTGCTCAGGATGGTTTATTTCATGTTGAGTGCTAAAAACGTTTATGTGAGTGTCTTGGTGTGTGCATTTGTTGCTTTAAGTTGCTTCAAAATTTTGAGGTTTTGAAAAGAAATGTTTTAATGTTATTGCTCCAATTACAAAAGGAAATTAATGAAAATCAAGGTTAACAGGTAAAAATAAAAGTTAGACCTTTTTTTTTCTTTTGGGAAAACCAATCAAACTGAAAAAAACCCATTTATTTAGGATGTGGTTTATATTTGGTTCATATGTCTTGGTAACTAATTCAAATTATTTATTTTTCTTTGACTTTAAGGAAAAGTTGTTCTAAAATTCTAATTTTGTGACTGACCTGAAAAAGTGAAACATTTGTTCATTTATAACCAGATACAAAATACTGGAACTATTCTGGTTTTATCTTTTCTCTTCCTTTCTACTGTAGCATGGGGTATATTCAATAGTGAGTAAAGAGGGGTCCTTGAATCAAATTAATTTGGTTTTAACACATTGTTTCACAAGTAATGCTGGTTTTCTTTAATACTATAATCTTTTTTCATAATTAATTCAGTTTTATCCTGTTTTTTTCATATGTAATACTGTTTTCACTCAATATTATAAATTTTTTGGTAATTTATTCAGTTTTATCCAGGTTTTTCATATGTAATGCTTTTTTATTCAATATTATCATCCTTTTTTTGTAATTAAGTCACTTTTATCCCAGTATTTCACATGCAGTGGTTTTAGCTCAATACTATACTTTTTTTTCAGTTAATTCAGTTTTATCCTGGTTTTTCATATGTAATGCTGTTTTCTCCAATATTGTAATCTATTTTTTTTGTAATTAGTTCAGTTTTATCCCAGTATTTCATATGTAGCACAGTTTTAGCTTAATATTATAATTTTTTTGTGATTAATTCAGTTTTATTCTGTTTGTTTATATGTAATGCTGGTTTTTTTCAATATTATAATCTATTTTTTTTTGTAATTAAGGCAGTTTTATCCCGGTATTTCCCCTGTAATTCTGTTTTAGTTCAGTATGTAATGTTTTTCCCCTCTTTTTCCCCCATGGAAGACGAAGGGTGCTGGCAATTTCTGATGGGATTGAGCACATTGGGAATCTGCGCTGGGAGCTTGCCCTGTGCCTCCTGGCTGCTTGGACTATTTGCTATTTCTGCATCTGGAAAGGAACCAAATCCACTGGAAAGGTGAGGCTGAAATATTTATTTCCACCAGGACAGGAGAATTTCACATGTGTGAGGACCTGTACTTAATTGTAATTAAGAGTTGTTTGTGGGTTTTTTGTTCCTTTTGGTTTCGTGATTTGCTTTTTCTCTGATTCTCTTAGGTGAGGCTGGGTGGTTTTGTTGTATTTTTGTTAATTTAGAAATGAGATTTACTGGACAGAAAACTGGTTTTGTTGATTTCTGCGCACAAATTCTGCAAAATTTGGTTTTGTCCCAAACTGTCAGGAGTCAAAACTCTTGATCCCACAGGAGAGTCACTGAATTTTGATGCACACAAAAAGAGAATTTAAAAATACAGATTGAACAGCAAGAACAGCAATAATGACAGCACTCAGAGAGGAACCAAAATGGGCATATTATGGGGAAAAAATAAAAATATTTAGCACTTTTGGGGTGAATGCCACTTAATCCTGGGAGCAGGGAGAGGGAGCCATGGGGTGAGGGAGAAGCTGCCCTGGAATGGTATCAGCCACAGCTCTGAGTAGAATCTGTGAGTATTCAGCTACACTGAGAGAGGAAAAGAGCCACAGATCTGGAGGGAAGATCTAAAAAATGCACTGACTCCTCATGTTGGAACTAAAGGAAACCAGGAACACAGTTGGTGCATTGAAACCTTTAATTTTCAATTGTTTCTTATGTAGTTTGGGTTGTGGTTGGAGTTTTCTTTTGTTTCTGTTTTAGTGACCTCTGTTTATAAATGAAATATTTGAAACGTAATGGATTTTTGAAATCTAGAAAACACCAGAGTAAAATTTTTCAGTTGTGTCAGCTGCACACATCCTTGATACCAGGAACCTTTTGGCTGCACGCAGTTGCTGGTTCTGGGTGTGTTTGCCAACTGTGCCACTCAACCTGCTGCTGCATTTCCCGTGCCAGCATTTCCACAGACATGCAGAGATTCCTGCAGCCCCTCTTGCATCAGTGCAGGGAAAATCCCTGCTGAGAAACGCTGGCAGGGGTGGGGCTGGGGCCTTGTGAGGGCTGAGCTAGAGCAGAGGCTGGACAGAGCTGAAGAATAAAGCAGGGATTTATTAAAGGATCTCCTCCATGGATCCACCCTGGGCAGCACCAGAGCCCAGCCAGGGCTGCACCCAAATGACCCAAAATGGTCCCAAAATGCACGAGCGCTCCCGGGGCTCTCCCTGGGATCAGTTCTGCTCCATTGGCACTTGGAGTTCATTGTCCCATTCCAGCTCCAGCCCATCAGTCCCATCCTGCTGGTTTTTCTCTCTCCAGCCCATGGTGTTTGTGCTCCTGGGCTGAGGTTTGGATCATTTGTCCTTGGTGCCCAGCTGGAGCAGGAATTGTTTTGTCTCCCTGCTCTGTGCAGAGCTCACCATCCCACAATGTGAAGCCCAGACCCACACACTAAAGCAGCTCAGAGTCTGAAAATAAAAAAGCCAAAACCTGATGCATTGGGATGAGAATGAATAGTTTAAAGGCAGCGGGAAATCCTAAAGAGAGGAATCTGGAGAAGCCAAAGTGATCCGGGGGAATGACAAGATAAATGTCCTCACATCTTTGGTGGGCTCAGGGAGGTGCACAAGCGCTTTGGAGTTTTCTGAGGGGCTGCAGCTGGCGGGAGAGAAATGAAACTGGGCAAAACTGCTTTTTTTTCTCCATCAGAAGGAGTTTCTGAGGATGGAAATGTATTCTAGCATGGTTTAATCTGCCCCAGGGGTGCAGGGAAAGCTCCATGGCCACGTGTGTGTGCATGCACGCGAGGCTGGGCTGCAGCACTAGCCCTGGCAGCAACCCTGGCCTCAGAGGGGCTCAAGTGACTTTAGAAAGGATTTTTTTTTACATATCTGGAGTTTACATTCAGGATTTTATTGTTCTTCCATTCGTTCAGTTTATAGCATTTTCCCAGAACCAGATCTTGTGCTTTGAGGGTGGATAACCTGTCTGACCTTTTTATTTTTCTTTTTCTGATGGCTTAGCTGAACCCACAGCTTTAGGTAGGTGGAATAAATGGATTTTATTTTAGTGTGATTTTGATAATCACCTCTCTGCTCAGGTCAGCCTGGGAAAGAACAGCCTGTGTTGGGCATGATAAATGGGATAATGAACTTTTCAACAAGCAGAAATAACTTCTAGTCTTTCAACAGAAGTGCTAAGAGAAGGGAATTTGTGCCCAATATTTCCCTTCATAGGTCTCAAGCTTAAAACAGTTGGATCAAGGTTCTGTAAGAGGCAGACTCAAGATAGACTTGCAGCAGTTAAATCAGTTTGCCATGAGCAGCTGTTCTGTTTCCAGAATCCTGAGGAATGCTTCAGGACTGGTGAATTCCCACATTTCTCAGAAGAGCCTGTGGTACCCATGAATTCCAGAGGCTCTCAGGAAGGATCTTTCCTAGCCAGTGTTGATAATTCCTTTTTGCAGCTGTTTCTTCAGTGCAGTTTAGTCCCTGGGTATACATTTACTGGTTTTAATTTTTTAATGCACTGTTTATTCAATATTCTTCCACTTGCCACTATTTCTAGCCTAATCTCTAGAAATATGGGCCTTGGCACTGCCTTCCCAGAGCAGCACACTTCCCAGCTTAAAAACAAAGGCAGCACTCAGGTGCTGGGGATGCTATAAATGGATTAAATGTTCTGAAATATAAATGATGTAGCAGATTTCAGGGCTGAAGTTTCCATTTCAAATCTAATGCCATTTCTAAAATTCATATTTAAGCTCATCCATAAGCCTTTCCACTAAATTGAATTTATTATATGCTCATTTCCAGGAAACATTTAAAATTGACTTCTGGGGTTTTTATTATAATAATATAACAGTCTGTTAAATTTATGACATACTTTAATTGGATTGAATAATTTCAATCAAAAATACATTTATTCAAAGCAAAGAACTTAGAGTTTTATCACCTATGAAACTTTTACAAAGGGCGTTGTCTGTGGGACAGGATAGTGGAGAGAAAGAGGACAGGGAAAACAGAAATGAGAGGGAGAAGGTGTGTCCTCTCCACACACTTGTGCTTTGTGGAATATTCTGGATGTTGGTTCACCCTTTTCCTCTTTTTTACTCTGCATTCTAATGCATGGTGAAAAAAAATTCCAAGCCTTAAAAGCTGTTATAAAATAACCCCATCATTCTCCAACCAGCACTTGCGCAGATCATGAATATTTAATATTTCAGGATATTAAATATATTAAGACTAACACAAAGTTTAACTCCAAAGGAAGTGCTTATTACACTGTTAACAGGGCGTTCCAAACTTTTCCATTACTGTTCTTGAAATTCATCACTTTCTCACAAAGCATTTCCATTTTCCATTCCAACAGATGTGAAATAGCAGAATAAATCCAGGTGATTCTGACAGCTTTCAGGTGAAATAGATTTGTGCCCTTTCAGAGGTCCTTGTCCTTAATTATTCAAGCTTTTCTCACCTCGAATTATCCAGTCTTAGATCTGAAGGTATTTGTGTGCCAGCTTTCACATTTTAAATGTTGCAAATATGCAAAATACAGGATCCTTCAATGAGAAACTCAAAATCAGAAAGAGAAAAACATGCCAGTGCAGTTACCATAATTTGATGTGTATTTTGAAGTTTGATTGATAGTATCTGATCTCCATCTCACGGAGAAGAGTTTTCAGTAGCTAAGATCAAATGCTTCCAACGATGGGGTAAGAATTCTGTAGAAGACTGAAGAAAGTTAATTTTTTTAACATTTAAATTATCATTCTAGTCTCTTCCAGAGCACTGGATTTGGTTCAGTCCCTGATTTTTCCAAAATACTTTTGATTTCTGGTCATGGCAATTCTGAGTTTTTCTATATTGTACACAGAGCTTCTGAGTCTCCCTAATTTTTTGATCTTCCTATTTGATAAATGAAATCTTCAGATAGAAGGGATCCTGTTCTTTTATGGATCTTGATTATCCATTTATTAATTTAACTAAATACCCATGTGCTTTAAATGTTGAAAGAGCAACACTTGAAACTTTGAAATTTAACTAAATTTAACTAAATGCCCTTGTGCTTTAAACTTTGAAAGAGCTGCCAATGTATTTTTCCTAAATCACTTGCTGAAGGCAGTAACCCTAATATTTCCTTTTTTATTTTTTATTTTCATGAGTTTTTGCAAACAAAGCCTCCCACTGACTTCAGCTGTCTCTCTGCAACTTCTGCCCAGTTCATGTTGAAGGGAGGAGCCTGATGGACTCACAGCTATAGAAAAGCATTTTAAGTCTTCTTTCCTGCTCTTTGTTAATTTTTTGGGTGCATCAACACATCCCTGTCCTGTGCTGATACCCCTGGTCTGAAACCCTGGCAGGGACTTGGAGTTATAACATTGCAAAGGTTGGGAGGGACCTTGGAACGTCTCTGGTGAAATTTCGTGGTCAAAGAAGGTTCAGCACTGAACTTGGAACTGTTGTCCTGGTGTTTGGCTGCAGCTTAAAAACATCCAAGGATGGAGATTGCTCATGTCTTGGGAAAACCTCTTCCAATGCTTAATTTCCCTCCATTAATCAATTATTTCCTACATGTTAAAATCTAGCTTTCCTGCCTGGACCTCTTGAGGGGGAATGAGAGGTAATCAGCATTGAAGTGCTTCAGAATTTTGTGCTGTAGTTGAGGAGAAGTTGAATCAAAAGTATGAGAAACCCCCACAGTCTTTCTATTGTTTTTAATTTATTGATATCAGAACATTTTACCCCACCCACAGCATGTTCATTAAACTGTGGATGAGGTTTTGTCATGCTGTGACTCAACACCAAGCCAGCATTTTCTGATGTGAAGTGTTCAAAGAATATTCTCCCTCCAGGATTTTACTGAGCATTAGAATATCACACTGATTGTATGACCACTGAGGCCAATTCTCATATATTTTGGGTCTTCTGAACAGGTTCTTGTTAACATCATGCAAATATTCTTTTGCCAGAGCTAAACTCAAATAGTTCCTGCACTGTGATTTTTACTTCTGCACTAGTTACTGGTTAATAAGTGATGAGAAA